TTTTTAAAATGGTGAAGCTCATTGAAAAAAATCATGAACCTAAAAAAATAATGTCTAATATACATTTATGTTTACACATATGTGAATGTGTTATAGATTACAGGACGTTATATGCATTTTGGTATTTTAGTTATGAAAAAATGAATGGTTTGTTGGGTAAGTTTGTATTATTTTATAAAATGTAAATGAGTGTCACCAAAAGAAAACATGCACATTTATATATAGTCTATATATAAATGTGCATGTTTCTTTTGGTGATACACAAATAGTTATATTAAATGACCAATAACTTATATAGGTTATACTAATTTTATAGGGTCATTTCATAGCAGCAATAGAAGAATCAAGCCAGAGTTTATTAAGATTATGCAATGTAATTCTCTTCTTGATAAACTTTCATCACATGCAGATGGTCATTTGAAAACTTGCTTGCAGTTTATTGAGCAAGAAACAATAAGTAGTAGCCTTTCTATATATAATGAAAATGATCACTAGGAATTTCTGTCAATGTCCGTAAATGAAGAAAATTTCAGAACAGGCTCTGAACTATTTCTGGACAAATTACTAGAGCCTAAAAAGGATCGACAAAAACTTCTGAGACAATTAATATCATTGTTAGCAAACTATTATAACAATGCATATGATTATAATTTTGTTTTATTAGCTAAAACACATATCGGATTACCGGAATCTATAACAGTATTTTCGGTGTTACTATTTATGGAAGGATAAAAATTGGAGATAAAATATTTGGGTTAACTTTTCTAAGAGGCATATAAAGTCAGCAAAAATACTCGCAAATTTATATTGGATGATAATAATATTGACATATATCCCTGCATTGTTTAATATTATTTTGAATATGTAGTATATCTACTGGAAGGTCCAAAAAAGTATGTATTAGCTTTTGTATGATGGTATCAAGCTGTTAAAGATCGAAGGACAAGATATCATTGCCAAATCGGTAATATTTGTAATGTTGAACTATAGAATAAAGAGTACTATAACTTAAGTAGGGATTGTATTATCTCCATTCATAATATTTTAAGTAGATTTATATCTGGAACAGATGTAGTCAAGAAAAAAAACCTGTGAGAATATATGTCTGTCATCCCAGTTAATAGAAAGTTATATATTTAATTTTGTATATATAATAAGGGTACTTTCTAATTATTTTAAGTAAAATTTAAAATATAGTATAGATACGTAGTATCTGATAGTTTCATACATACATATATAAGGTTTATCGGCTAAAATTCAAATAATTATAGACGCATATCTGTTATCATTATAACACCAATTTAATAATTACCAATATAGCTTTCGATAACATGTAATAAGCGCTATATTAACAGATAATTTACTGATATTACTATAAAATATCTATAACTATGTAGGAAAAATTAGTGTTCCAAATCAGATTAAAAATTCTGGTTAATCCGGGATTGATCTGAATCTGATCCTAATCTGAAATTCGGATTGATCCAGAAACAATCTGGGGCCGATCCGATGGTTAATCCAGGATTGAACTGAAATAAACTGAATGAATCCGAAATTCAGATTAATCCGTGCAATCCGACGGTTATAGCTATTATCATAATTCCTAAAACACCTAATAAAAATTAGCCGAATGATATTTCGGCCGATTCGGTTAAGTTTGTAATTTCGGCATAAAAGATACAAAATTGTACATATACGTATATAACTTTTACATTAAATAGTGCCAATGTTATTCATATAACAAAAATTATATATATAGTTTTGACTTCAGAAATTTATGTAATTTTCAAACACATATGATAAATATAATACTTGATCTACAGATAATTTATCATTATTACTATCAATACGTTCAATGTTATTAGACTTTGTATTTGGTTTGTGTGAAAACTTATAGAAAAAGCTAAATATCGACAAGAGTATAAAAAGGCTCTATACAAAATAAACTTTTATAATAAATATATTGCCCGAGTAGTTAAATGATATTAAGAATGCTAGATATCATCAAAAAATTGTCACTGATTTAAGGATGTAACTCAAGATTCTGTTCAAAAAATCTTGATTTTATTAATATTTGTCGCAGAAGTATTTCAATACATCCATATTTTTGAAAATACTTGAGAACTAGATTTATAAAAGACAGTCTAAGTGTTTGCAATTTTCGAGATGATAAGCTTCCTAATTTTTTTTCAATTATTCGCCAGCGAAAAATGCTTTGAGAGTATCATGTTTCTGTATTTGACCTGAGATATTCGTGTTAGTATAATATTAGTCATTTGATCTTAAATTATATATATACGTATGTACGCATATACGTGTACATATCAATTTATAGAATCTATTATGTCGAAATCATAAACTTAACCGAATCAGCCAAAAATCATTTGGCTAATTTTTATCAGGTGTTTCAGGAATTATGATAATAGCTGTAATACAAAATTTTTATGTACGCACAATGATAATTATATGTATAAAGCCCGAAAGTTAAAAATTTTACACATACTCTTAAAAATTTATACTTACATATATATGTGTATTTTATTTGAAACTTTAAATTGAATCTTTATTGATTGTTTTTCAATTGTGTATTCAATGTACAGAACCTAAATTGATAAGAATTGTATTAACCAATTTGACCTTTCTAAAAATGAATTTAGGTTCAAAAGATAGTTTGGCAAATAGTCCTCAACCAAAAGCAGACAAGGAGCATATGATTAATTCTCATTCTTTTAACAATTCATTGAAAGCTTTAAACACTAAAGCCATTGAATCATCCAACCAGAGTGATAACACTGGTTCCAGCTCAGACAAAGCTGAATCTTCTAATTCCTCAATAACTAGAGTTGAGCAATATAATATCATTAACAGACCTAGAGCAAGAACTGACTCAATTATTAGTTTAAGTGTTAGCAATATGACAGGTAGTTATTCAGATTATGTTAATCAGCACAGAGATACAGAAAAAGACACTGCCCAAAAAAGCACGTGCAAAAGTGTCTGCCAATATAATTATTTCTGATTTTAATAAAATTCAATTTCTGCAGAAACAAGGTTAGAATAATAATTTATTCTATGGTTGTTCTCAAGCAGCTCCCTCGATGTAATTTGCAAGTGATCAAGATGCTGCTCAATCATTTGATTAATCGAAATTAATTGAAAAGTGATTTCTGTAACAATTTTGCTGAAAATTCATTGTGCGAAATATGGATTTTAAATTTCAGCCAATCGGAGTAACTCTATAAAAAAAAGATGGTTGTTAACTCCAGGTTTTTTGACTGAAATAATTAAACACGATTTATTTTTTCAGCCAATCAGATCACTTTATCGATCATAAATAGAGGTGCTTGAGAACAATCTGTATAGATAAAATATCTTATAGTAGTAATCCAATTGCAACAATGCTGCATAGCAACCTAGGGTCAACACCACAATGTTATATGATGAATCAGAAAATTCCTGCTATAAACAAAATGCAAACTCTGATAAATCTTCTCGAAAAGCTCTTTTTAGCTCTAGTTTCGATACACCTCTCAATTATGCTTATTCAGAGAGAAGTGACCCAGTCACAATACGAATACTAAAAGGCCAATGTTGAAATTAAACAATGATATAAGTCATTAGTATAACCATAAAAATTCATCTTTTAGTACAAATAAAATGGACTACTTATCGACTATCAAGAGTGAAGAGCAAAGATTTGTCAAATTTGATGATTCTTCTCACTATCAGAGTGACACATTTTCATATAACATTCAATACCAATTGAATTTCAGATACAACACAAGGTCTTCTCTCAGTACTCCTAAAACCTGGTTCAATGTTGCATGTCCCTAAATGGAGGCTCGAGCCGAATTATCTAATTGAAGTAATTCAAATCCATCTCTATAGGAAGACTTTCGTATCATTGGCTGTTTAAATCAATTTAATTTTACATTATTTATACAGTTTAAAGTACTTTTTAAAAAAAAAATAAAACTATGAAGAATAAACAAAAAAGAATTATATAAAAGGTTTTATTAGGTTGTAGGACTCCAGTATTAAGAATAATCAAAATTATTTCTGGTTTTAGAGAAGTTAGCGTAATAGCGACTTCTTAAAGATAGATAAAATTAGATTAATATCATGCTAACTTCTCTAAAATCAGAAATGATTTTGATACTGAAGTCCTACATCTTAATAAAACATTCTATATACTTCTTTTTTGTTTATTCTTCATAGTTTCATTTTTTAAAAAGTACTTTAAACTGTATAAATAATGTAAAATTAAATTGATTTAAATGGCCAATCATACAAAAGTCTTCCTATGAGGTCTACCTGAGCATCTATTTCAACGCTGAACATCAGATAACATATTATCACTGATGCAATTGACGAATATGATATATTTAATTCCAATTATTAGCTTACAACAAAATCGCGTAAGCCTTGAGTTTCTGCAAATTCAATTGTAGATGTGACGAACATTCAATCTAATCCTCGTAGTGTTGCAAATTATAAAGACTACGAAACAGAAGATAAATATTATGATGATAGCAGTGACAATAATGATGAATCTGTTAATGAGGTTGAGGAAAATCCTATTGAAGAGTAGGATGAAGACCAAGAAGAGCTTAAAGAATTAGTGTCATTATCTTCAGATCCTAAAATACAACACAAAGTATGTTATTTATAATCTTCACATTTGGTTTTAATATTGGTATGAAATTATTATTGCTATTTGCAAAATACTGGATCCCATTGATTAATTATTATCTAACAATCACATTCGCATATTACCGTATTTTCGCGTAATAACGCCCATGAGCGTTATTTCGAATTTTGACCTGAATTAAGCTTAATTTAAGCCAAAATTTGAAATTACACCCCTGCGCATTATTACGCGAAAATACGGTAATAACAATTACATTGTTATTAATATATGATTGTTCGATGATGATCAATCAATAGGATCCAGAATTTTGCAAATCGCAATAAATACTTTTTATGCTGCTTTAACACTCATGTTGATAAATGCTACTCTCACTGCCACTGTTGAAGACCAATCCAGTAAAATAGCCGGTCTTGCATCATTTGAATCGATCGTTGCTTCGCAACAGCAGCAACTTGATCATATTATTAAGATTAAAGAATTACTGTGTATTATGTCTAATAAAATTTCTGAACAAGTAACAGATATTAAATCACTTAAATTCCAGATAGGAGAAGCTTCATAAGTATTTGCGAATTTGTTTGACACTTACCCATATATATATATTTGACTTTAGGTTTGTCTAAACTTTGATGAACAGGAATAGCGATGAAAAACAGAAGGTGAGTCAGATGCATAATTTTACAAAAACACTATAGAATTATTTAAAAAATCTAGTAAATTAGCCAAAACTAAAGAACATTTGATAATTTAATGTGTATTTTCGAATAATTCTTTGGGATTTTTATATTTTTTAAAAATTTGCCAGATGGGCCCTTATGACATAATTAATTTAAATTTTTTGTACCCTAATTTTAAATTAGACCCAATCCTGTTTAATCTGGGCCCAATCTGAATTTTTTGGGCCAAAACTAATCCGACGGTTGGGATTAGATTAAAATCTGAATCCGATCTAATTTACATTTTTGGAACACTAGGAAAAATCATAAACAAATAGATTTATCAATAGTTATATCAAAATTTTGATATATTCCTGATTTTATCCCTATATTATTAAGGCATATCAGAATACTTTCAGGTTTTTCGATAGGCCTATTGATATTTCCGATAGCTCTATAATATTTAGATAATAACTATGGTACATATCAGGTTCTGATATATCTCTGATTCTTACTTGGCTTGCATAATCCTGATATGGCTTCATTCGATCTGTGAGAGCATGATAGAGTGATTTCTATTCATTGTTTGCTATATTTATCTATTCTAATAAAATTAAATGGTTAGGTGGTATATTGGGAATGTTGAATTAATATTGTAAATTAAGATAGTCTATTGTAAAATTGTGGTGGATGGGTATAGGAGATAAATTTCTAAAAGAAAATTTAATCTGTCTAATAATGTTGCCAAGTTTTTTAAGATTATAATAAAGCTTAGATGCTTTGACTGAGAAGATGTGTTGGAAGTTACAAACTGAAAATTTTTTGTTAGGAATATTTTGAGGTGCTGCAGTGATAGTGCTAGTTTAGATTTTGTGCTATGTGGATTCTAAAGATTCTGTGGTATTGGATGTATAAGGAGTGTTGTTAGTTTGAAGGTTGAATAAGATTTGTTCTGAGTAATTTAACCATTGTTCTTCATTTATGTTTTTATATTAGAAAATTCTTCTTTTGGTTTTGGTTAAATATCGATATTTGCTTGTAAGTGCATATGAGAAGAACCAAGAAGATATTAGAATTTTGTAATTACTTTTGGTACAAGTATTGGTATCCTCAAGATAAAATGAGGTTAAATAGTAGAGAACAGGATGGTGAGACCAGATGTAGTCGATACGACTACTACTATGTCTGCTATTGTGCTATATAGTGTTTGTAGATTGTGTGTGAACTGCAAGTTATATAAGTTGTTGTATTGAAGAAAATGAAGAAGCTTATATTTGATAGATGAAGATTGTGTATTGTCACTAGAAGCATTTAAATCTCTCATAACTATAGGTTGGATATTTAAGGAGATAGCTTGTTGAATTTATTGGATGATGGTATTTTGGGTTTGTAAATGGAGTTGAAAACTATCACAAGGTAGGTAAATGTTAATGATTCTAAACTTAAAGTCATATTTAAAGAAAAGGTTGACAGCAATAGCATATCCTGGTTTAGTGAGAATATTGTAGATATATGGTTTAAGTTGGGTTCAGATCATAATAGCAACACCTGATTTGGCACTATCTATGCAAGACAAAAAGTAAGTGAAGAATATAGATTTTTAAAGTTAAGTAATTGTATTGTCTTTAAAAATCTTAGTTTTTGTGATATCAATAATGTTGAGGTTGTTAGAAAGACAGAAGTCCTTCCAGACTTGTTTTTTAAGGTCTTCATTATATCCTCATACATTATGAGTATAAATTGATAAATTAAGACTCTGGTTTTGTAAAGTAGTAGAGCAGTTATAGTAATGAAGCTCTGTTATAACATTAGGGCTTGGATCTGGTGATTCAGGTAATAGTAGTTGGGTTGGTATAAACATATCTGGTGATGAGAATAGATTTGAAGTAGTTGGTGATTCTATTAATTGTGATATAGCAGTTTGCCATTCTGCAGTGAGAGATTCAGATATTAATTGTGGAGTAGCTAAAAAAAATCTGTTAGTGTATCTATCAGGTATAATGTAGCTATTGAATTTAAGAGTGATATTGCAATAATATTTTAGAGCTTCTCTAAGTGAGACAAAGTGATTTGGTAGTGATTTAGGCTCAAAAGGTAAATTTATATGGGCTTCAGAGTAGTCTTTTTTAATAAAGATAATAAAGGTATTGAAATGAAAGTTTTCTAGATTGTATCTAAAAGGTTGAGATGATTAAGAAATGAGATAATAGTTTGTGGTTCAGGTAGTGTTGGCAAGTTATAGTATCTGAAAAATCTGTTAAAGTATAGATGTGATGAATTTGGAAGAGGTCTTGGGTCTGGATCAGTAGTGTGTTCAGTATTATAAAGGTTAAAATAAACATCTTGTTGAAAGTCATAATATGAGTTGTAGATCCAATCATCTTTAACTAAATTAGGAATAGTTTCTGATTTAATGAAGTTGATGTCAGAGGTAAAGAGAGGAATGAAGAAAAAGTATTTGTAACTTTCAACTATCATGCAAATCTATATTCAGACTGAGTATAAACATATGCAATGCTGTAGTCTTCTTTAATTGTTAAATAGAATGAAAAGTTGTATATATTATTAAGGTTGTAATAAAAGGATTTGAGGTGTTTAATAAAGAATCAATAGTTTAAGGATATAGAAGTAGAGAAAGATCGAGGGATAATAAAATTTGGTTATAACATGTATTAAGATTGTATGTGATTATGTGTGGTTCATTAGTATGAACAGTATTTATATTTGGATAGTTAGTATGTTGGGTTGTCTCATCATAGAGGTTTAAAGATGTTGAAAATGATTTGCTAGTATTAGGGTTGTCTTTTACAAGGTCGTTCATCATTTCAAGCTCAGTTCTCACAGCTGTGCAGAATTCCATAGCCTGCTCTGTATGTTAGATCTGACTCTTATATAAATGGTCCTCTATATAAACGAGCTTCTCCGTCCGCCCACTTATATTATTTTTCTTACTAACTACAATGTGTGTATTATTTAGTAAGGTGGCAGCTGCATCAATGATTATAGAAAACAGATTTATTAAAAAGGAGTCTTTTTAAGAAAAAGAGACTCATTAATAAGTTTAGGAATTTGAAAGGTGATGTTGAATTTTCCCAAAGGCACTTTTTTGCTTCAGGATAAGCAATTTCTTTGATAGTATTTGATCATTTGAGAATATGTGAGTATTGGTCATAAGTATCAAATCATGTTATAACTCTTGCAAGAAAGTCAGTACTAATAGGTTGTTTAGTTAAAGTTTTATGTTTGCATTTTTATCTAAATTTGCAATATTAAGGTTTATTATTACATTTTTTGATATGCTTCAAGGTATAGATAAAAGAACAGACTATGTCTGCCTTTGTTACTTTCTACAGAGTTAGTTTCACAAAAGGATTTTCAGCTGTAGATGTAAAATCATCTAAAGTTTTGGTTGGTATAGGCTTCAAAAAGATTGGCTTCATGTTCTCTTTCTTTAAGAAAGATTGGGTCATCTATTTAAAGTTCTTTGGTTGCCATTCAGCATAAGATTCATTAAGATATTGTTTATATAGTTTGTTAAAATTATGTTGAGTATGAGTTTTGGGTGAAGATATGTTTTCTGTTTCAGGTTCGGTTATAAATGATTTATCTTTATTCTTGAGCTCAATTTTTTCCAGGTATTGGCATTGGGCATTTGAGCAAATAAAAATGTAATAATTAGCAAATTAATACATTTATCACAATGTTCTTGAAAGGTAAAGAGTTTTATAAACAGAACATCTGTTGGAATTTGTTCTTTGAGATGTGAGATAAAAGCCTGTCTAAAGTGGTATTTAATTAACGATTCTTCAGTCAACTGAAGAATGATCATAGTGAAACATGATGTGGTTCTATATATAAATTACTATAGGTGCGAAAGTAGAAATTTTCTAGTGATTGTCCAAAAAAAACTTTTTTTCGTACTAAGTTAATCATCTTTGAGTTTCTAATTAAAGTTGTAGAGCTCATCGAGACGAATCTAATAGTAGTTAAATCATTCAAATCAGCCTTGTGGATGCCAAGATATCTTTGAAAAACGTTTTGCTATCTATATAAAATTCT